TGTGTGCTTGCAGGAGGGGGAGAGAGAGAGGGGGGGGGAAGGGGGAAGGAGGGGGGACTGCGTGGTCAAATAACTTTTGATGGACGAGCAAGTGAGACAGAGGTAAGGAGAGAATTCTATGCGCGCGAAAACACATGAGCCAGCGAGATTGCCACACGATTCTACGTGTGAACGAGGGTGGGTGGGACACATGCACACACATACTGTGGTTGGGTGGTTGTGACACTCAGAAAACACACCAGAGAGAGGGGGAGAGAGAGGGGGGGGGGGAGGAATGTAGGAGAGAGCGGCAGAGAAAGGGCGCACTCCAAGCGTGCTTGTTTCTACTTCCCGCATGTGTGGCCGTATGGGAATCCACACATGCCAATACGCCCATGTGTGCACATAGACACATACGCATACAAGAAGCAAGAATGGTACGGAGACATTACAGACAGAGAGAGACATTACCTATACAGCAGGACATTGCAAAAGCAAGAATAATAGATACACACACGAAGTTTTCGAATAAATAAAAATAAAGATATTAAAAACGAAAAAAAAAAGTATATACTGGGATTGTTGTGCCGTACTTGGGGGGGGAGGGGGCCGGATGTGTCTGCATTACCAATATTGAAGCTTTTGGTTCATCGATGATGAGAATTAAGGGGCAGGCGATTCCGATATGGATGGCCGGGACCTTGGCTCCGCGAACGATACTATGTGGCGTCGGGTTTGCCCAGTCTTACTGCGAGGAAGCAGAGACTGCTTTTGTGTGTGTGTGTGTGTGTTTTATGAGGATAGGAAGCTACCGCGACGCTAATCGCAGCGAGGTGCGCTTGAAAGTGCAACCAGAAGCCATACCATCAGAAGACTGAGTGATCCACATTGTATGAAGAAGGCTCATACACCCCAAACACAAAAGCAACAGATGTGCATACATCGACCTCTATCTTTCACCAATCCTACCAACACCACAAGATCATGGCCAGAAGGCATTAGGCCACAATACCACAAAAGGAAAGCAGAAGACAATCACCACTAGTCTCAGCGCAAGGCAGCGAGCCAAAAACAAACGACATAAGACAATCGACAAGGCACAGAACAACGTGCAGCAACGAAAGGTTGGAGGGCAAGGGGGAGGCGGGTGGGCAGGCAAATAGCACAAAACAACAAAGCACACTGGGTGAAAGACATGGGGTAGACAGATGGGCAAGCAAACAGCGTAAGGCGGCGAGGGAAATAACAACAACACAAACGACGACAATGCAAACACAACACCGAAAAAAAATACAAGTATAAACAACACAAAGGCTGAAAAAAATAAAAACTGATGATAGATTGTTTCGTCGGAATTGCACCGACTCATCAGGAGGCTGAACCCTCAACAATCTGCGGTATCCCCAGTTTCGGATGCGTTAGGTCATGAAACCTTTGACCCCAGTTGAAGGCAGGTTGCCCACAAACGGAACATAGCAGCAGCGAGTGACGCCACTGTGAAGCACCAGGCAACACATACTGCGCAACACCAAAGACGGCTGCAAGCGGGAGACAACGCCAGTGGAGATGAAGCATGACACCCGTTTGGGAGGGCACAAACCCACACCCAAACGACAACCATCCGCCACGCCACAAACGAAAGGACCCAAAAGCGAAATACAACAGCAGCGAGCTACGCCGTTGTGAAGCACCAGGCAACACACGCGGGGCAACTCAACTGCCCAACACAAAAAACGACTGTAAGTGTACATGCAGCATGGCACCCGAGTGGCGAAGCACAAGGCAACACCCAAACGACAACCATCCAACACGCCGCAAACAAAAGGAACCCAAACGACAAGGCACCTGAATAGGCAGCCCGGAGGCAACGTAATGACGCACAAGGCACCGCCAGCAATATATCCAAGCCACAAAGCGAACACAACAACACAGATTGGACAACCCGCAAAGCAAGAGGGATGGGCAGCAAGACAACGGTGTAACGCAGACAGCACAAGGCAGCCCACACATCCAACACAGAGCCAAGCCACACATGACCTACCCACATCATGGGTGAACACCGCAGACTGTTGGTTCCCACCACCCAATGAGCCAGGGAGTCACCCCGACGACCATCCGTCATCACCTATAGGCAACACAGATATCCCGAACCGAGCGGCCCCCATAAGAGTGCAGTAGGCACTTCAAACAAGGACCCACCGACTGTTTGGCACTACTTGAGGGTGCTAAGTTGGACACACAATACATACTTAGAAAAAGTCAGGAGGGGACAGACAACAGAAGAAAGGCCAACAAACATAAAACTGATTGTGTGTGTGTGTGTGAGAGAGAGAGCAGCTAAGAGCGCAGTTTTTGCCAAATGAATGTCAGAAGAAGATGCCAACAAAAACAACAAAAAACAAGAATAAAAAATCGAAGTAGAAATAAAAAAGCACAAAGAATGGGAGACGATAACACATACCGAGAGCATAAGGCTACAGAAGTTCATAACTGCAGCAAAATGTATTTATGCCCTCCTCTCTTCCCCCCCCTCCATTAGCAAACGAGGAATGCACTACCGCCTTCGCCCGAATAGAGCGCCCAATCACCATAACCGTATTTCGTGCAACTTTGAGTCTACATACAACCATAATTACCGGACGGTCTGTTCGGGTGACGACGGCAGGCTCACGCATGTCTTCTAATGTTGTATGTTTGTCTACAATACTAAATAATAAATACTAAATATTTTTTTTTGCGGTTGTTTCAAACGTTTCCCTTGTTTCGCTTTGTGTTTTTGCTGTGGAGGGCGGTGTTAGTTGACGATCACATATAGACACCAATAGCAAGAAAAAAAAACAAAAAAGAAAGGCATTGCCTCTCTCTCTCTCTCTCTCTCTCTCTCTCTCTCTCTCTCTCTCTCTCTCTCTCTTTCCCCCTCTCCCCCCCCCCCTCCCCCCCCCCCCCCCCCCCCCCCCCCCCCCCCCCCCCCCCCCCCCCCCCCACACACACACACACACACGTGTAGCAGTGTATATTTCTATGTTCTAGCGGAAGATTCATTCGATTTTGCTCATCCTATTGATGGAGGTAGTGTGAGGCCAGCTGTGGGGTTGGAGACTTACCTGTTGGCCGGGGCGTTGCTCATCCTATAGACGAAAAACTCTCTCTCTCTCCCTCTCTCTCTCTCTCTCTCACACACACACACACACACACACACACACACACACACGCGCACACACACGTAGTAATCAAGAAAAAAAAAACAAAAAAAATCGGGGGGCTTCGATGACTACACATAGACGCATTTATGGGCACATACGGAGACGAAGAGCAAAGAAAAAAAACAAAAAAAACGACAAAGAAGGAAAGTGCGGGCTTTCTCGCTCTCGCTCTCTCTCCCGCCACCGTCATAGGCAGTAGCAGGTAAGCTTTGGTGACTGCACTTAGACTAAATCACGGTCATATTCAAACATGAACAACAAGGAAAACAAAACAAAAAAGGCACGTCGACCTTTCTCTCCCTCTATGTTTTGTTTTTCTCTCTCTCTTTGTCTCTCTCTCTCTCTCTCATACACACACACACACACAGTGTAAAGTCAGCAGGCGGGGCCTTTAGTGACTGCACGTAGTCCTAATGATCGTCATATACAGATATGAAGAGCAAGAAGAAGAGCAGACAGAAGAAAAGGGAAAGGCGCGGTGTTTTTTGTCTACTCACCCGGCTATGTCACCTGGTAGCTGGCGGGATGGCAGGCTAGAGAGGAGGCGCGATGAGCACGGGAATGTTGTGGATTCTTGGTTTTCTTGGCATCAGAAACGTGCCGCTTCTTCTTGCTGTGAACTAAGGCCCGTTTCCAAGAGACGCCCGCCTCCAGCCTATTTCCAAGAGACGCCTGCCTCCAGCCCAAACGGTTTCAGGTAGAAACCAGCCCAAACGGTTTCAGGTAGAAACCGGCCCAACCGGGCCACCGTTTCAGCCAGCTGACTAGAGCCGGGTGCATTTCAATTTACACCCGGTCCGAGCCTGTCCCCAGCCTGTTTCCCTGGGCTGGAAAGCGCCCAGTGGTTACCAACTGGGCAAACCTGGGTCACGCGGCACTACTGGTGGTTTAAAACATGCAGCCTACCGGTAGGGCCATAACGGAAAAGTTTGGTGGGCTATCGGGTAGGGGCATACTGAAAATTTGGACTAGTACAGGTAGGGGCATAACAAAAATAATTCAGCCCGAGCCGACGGCGGGGCTTTATGGTAATTTTAATCGTGGTCAGAGGGGCATGAAAGGGTGTTTGGGCCGTCGGAGGGGCGCGACGCAACGTGATGGAGATTACAGGGGCGTCAGACAAATTTTATCAGAAAGAAAAGAAGGAAAAAAAAGGGGAAAATGTCGCCTGTGAATCGTACCCGGCCGCGGTTGACTCCGTGTTTCTTCAGAGTTCGAGCGCTCCCACGTCTGACGTGTCCCTGGGAGGTGGCGCTATTGGAAAACGCTGTGATCTTGACTGGAGGTTGGCGAATAGGCGGCCTGAGCGCCTTCCCGCACCACTCACCGAATGTACTGAATGGCGAACGCATTTTCCGCTAGAACGCGGGGTTATACGGCCGCCATAGTTTTTGTCTTTTTCACGGTTGGCGTGGTGCCGGGAGGCCTCGAGGCAAGACAAGAATGGGTCCTGTAATTGGTCCATGCTTGCGCCTCGCCGCACGACTCACCAAATGGGCAAAATAAGAATGCATCCCCTCCTAGAACGTGGGAAGATGCACCCACCATCGTCCAGCATACATGCATCCGACGCCACGCGCAACCAGAGCGGGCATGCATGCCCGCGCGAGCGCGAGGGGAGAGAGAAGGAGCATGATCCCAAAAAACAAGCAAACATTGCGCGGCGCTGATCGGGCGAATGTAGCCGCTATGCCGTCCCTATTTTGTCCGGAATGAGAAGGGGGTATTTTCCCGGGAAAGGACCGGCCAAAAGCCAAGTCAGCGGGAAAAACCGAGTAGGCGGGTGAACATTGCGCGGCGTGCGGCAAGACGTGGCGACGGAGCGAGCTTGGTTCTGCACTGTCGGTCGTACAATAAGCGGGGGGTGCGTCACGAGAGTGGAGGGCAGTTCGGGGGAATCTTTTGGGGCTACATGGGTTGTCGGCCCTAGAATGAGCGCGGCTAGCGACGTGGAGAAAAGTACATGGCATCTGGTCTCTTCCGACGGAGGGACGGCCCCTCCTTTCTGTGCTGTCTTCGTCCTGTTTTGTCCAGATTGTGTGTCCGATTCCCGGGGAAATCTTGATCCCCTCAAGTGTCCGGCTCTTGCCCCAGCCTCCCTCTTCTCCCCTCAGGCGTGTCCCAACTGCCGCTTTGCCAATCGCGTGGTCGCCCGTCGGGACCACTGGTGTGTATTTAAAGACTGCCTTCCAATCGTAATGGCGTTCAGAGCTGGAAGATGCCTGGCGAGGTTGGCATGGAGAAACTCTACTTATAACTATTGTACAGCCTCATACTCACGAGGAGCGCGTTGTCTTGCGGGCATTCGCATCGACAGGAAGATCATTCACTGCGATCAGCGGCGGTACACCTTTCATCCCACCATGGCAGTTGGCGTGCGGATGGAGAAGGACACGTTCGGCCCGATTGACGTGCCGGCCGACAGGTGTGTTTCGTCCTATCACCCCCCGCGTGTCATGACCACTGCACTGACTCCCGGCTCTGTCAATCACATGATTTTGCCTCTTCTTCCACGTACCGGTTACACGACGTTCGGGAATTGGAGGGGGTAGATAGATGGCCCTGCTTTTTAGAAGATGAACGGAGTGTGAGGATGCCCTCGGGCTCGTCGAGAGCGACAGCGATCCTTCCTCTCATACTCTTTAAAGTTAGGGTATTACTAGGTAGTACCCGGAATCTCTCGGACGGAGGGTACAATAAACTGTGCGACACGTACAGGAAAGTGCCGATGTTGGGTATTGGTTGAGGATATTTGATATGCCTGAGATCTCTCGTAGTTGAGGCTTGCTTTCTAAAGGAATCATTCAATGGAATCATGCTGTTTTGGTGGTCGTGTTTATAGTTCAATGAGGTCATACGTACCCTAGATGCCCCTAGATGCATTCGATCTAGATGGTGGACAGATTCGGCCAGTAAAATTCGTGTGTGAGTAATGCCTTAGGCTATATTCACGGGAGGACACTTTCAACGGAATCATGGTGTACTTGTGGCAGTGCATGAGAAAGTCCTAGCCGGAGTATGTGGCGCTATCCCATGGAGCATATAGCGGCAGTTGTGATGCTCTGTTTCCGTTGTACCCGTTTTGTTGTCGTCCCGATCCCGACGCCATTCGTGTTTGATGATGAGATTGTCTATAACGTATAATAGACGGAGGCAACTTGTCTATAACGTGTAATAGTCGGAGGCAACTTGCACAGCGACGCTGTGCTTGCTGTTCCTCAATATCTAAATTTTGTTCTCCGTCCTCGTAGCCCGGTACCTCTGGTGTTGTCGCCCCGATCCCGACTTTTAGTGTACGATGATGGCATTGTGAGTCCGTGAAAGACGATTCGTCTTCCGTAGATCGTCAATGCTGGTAGCCCGGTCTGGTGTTGTCGCCCCGATCGAAAGGCCTCTTGGAAACCCCTCGATCCGCTCTTCTACGCCATGTCTCCTCCGTGCTGGCGTGGGTGATCCTGTTCCGGATCTCCACGTGGCGTTTGATAATGTCTTCCCTAGTTTTTCTAATGTCAGAGTTCCTTTTCGTTTTACGATCCTCCGTGTATAAGTAGAGGGATCGTCGAAGAGGGATTCCTGATGGCACGCAAATGCGGAAGCGTCGTGGAGGGAGCACGCCTGCCTTTCCCCTCTATGGTAGGTCACGTTGAGGGCGCGGCGAGATCTGAGTCGTAATGTTCATCAGTTGGCGGAAGAGCGTCGGGCTACCCGATGGTAGCTGGGTGAGACGTTCAGCGGGATACGCGCTGTTTCTCTGCCGTGGGAAGTGTGAGCTGGTCAGTCCCTCCTCATCAGTCTCTGTGTTAGTGGAACGCTTCCATGAACAATGTCGCGCGTTGACGATGATCACGCGACATATATAAATTCTTCTACTTCACGTGTTTGCGCTCTTAGTCAATAGTTCTGTGACTACATACCTATTACACATTATATAGGTATATACTATTGCGAAGGGTTAGTCAATAGCTCTGTGACAATATATACTATTGCGAAGGGTTAGTCAATAGTTCTCTGACAATATATACAATATATATATATCGTCACAAATTTATTAGAGCGCAAATGCGAAAAAAAGAAATAAATTCATTTTTTATCATCCTTACAAGACTCCCCCTGTTCAAAACCTCTTGCGTACAAGGTCGCCCGCGTGAATGTATGTATACATCCACGTGGGCGGCCTTGTACGCAAGAGGTTCTGAACAGGGGGAGTTGTAAGGAAGAAGGTATAAAAAAATGAATTCAGTTTTCCTTTTTTTCGCTTTTGCGCTCTCATATTTATGTGATGATATATATATATATATATATGCCAGCGGTGTGTCTGGAGTGTATTTTTTGGCTGTGACAGATATATATATATATATATATATATATATATATATATATATATATATCTGTTTGTGACGATATATATATATGCCAGCGGTGTGTCTGGAGTGTATTTTTTGGCTGTGACAGACCTTTCTTTGTTTCGTGGATGTTTTGCTGGCTTGTGATGGGGTGTGAACCGACAGTCTGTAGAGTTTTCCATCTGGTGTGGGTGAGTGATAGTCTACTTCGATTTTGGTTGTAGATTATCATTTACAGTGTAATCAGTGAGGGGATTCTGCAGACTGTTGAGGGTTCAGCCTCCTGATGAGTCGGTGAAACTCCGACGAAACAGTTTGTCACAGCCCCTCGTTTGTTGTCCTCTTCTCTCTCTCTGCCTACGGTTTACCGGGCAGTTCTGTTTGTGACGATATATATATATATAAACTCCGACGAAACAGTTTGTCACAGCCCCTCGTTTGTTGTCCTCTTCTCCCTCTCTGCCCTGTCTCTTATACACATCTAGATGTGTATAAGAGACAGATGATACATAGATGGCAGAGCTTCGAGTACCTGTCTTCTCGGAAGTTGCCACACTCGGGATGTGAGATGATACATAGATGGAGTTGCCACACTCGGGATGTGAGATGATACATAGATGGAGTTGCCACACTCGGGATGTGAGATGATACATAGATGGCAGAGCTTTGAGTACCTGTCTTCTCGGAAGTTGCCGGAATGTTCCGAAGGTGAGTTGTTAATTGTTGAGTGCCATTGCGCAGGAACAGGGCATGTCATGGGCGGATGTTGATGCTCGCGCCAGTGAGCGATTATAGTTGGTTAAGAAGTATGCACGTGCGCAGTCTGTAAGGGTTTGATGCCCTAAGGAGTCGCGCCTGGGGCATGGAGTGGGGTGCGGGTACGATTTCCAGTCTGCTGCATTGATACATGGAGTACTGAAAATGTGTTGACCGATCGCGGTTCCATGTCCTCGTGTGGCTGGGATTGCCACTCACACATCATCGGACGGGATCTCAGCTAATAAGAAGAGGGCTGTCAGGTTTAGTCTAGCTAAATTAAGCTTGTAAATCAAGCTTAGGTGCCAGTTGTTAGAGCCTGACAGTGATGTGGTGGTCGCTGCTCCGTTCGACATAGGCGCCTTATTTGCTGGCCTAATTGAGTTTACCGTTTACGCTCTCTCTCTCTCTCTCTCTCTCTCTCTCTCTCTCTCTATCCTCGCACCATTATTCTTCTTATTCCTCTCTTTGTGTCGATATGCGTTTGGAAGGGGAAAAGCACCTATTTTGTCCCTCTGGTCTATACGAGTATCCATACGGTACACAATTGTTCGTTTGTGTATTTTCGTTCATTTTCGCCTCTTTCGTCTCCCGATATCGCGTCATTTTTCCCATTCTGTCATCTATCCAAGAACCAGTTCTCGGCTTCCCCGCCGTCCTGATCTTCGTCTTTCTGTGGTAGGAGAATCAATGTGGAGAGGAAACGCCTTTCTCCCCTCGGCCACCTCTCTCTGTGTCGTCCAGCATTCTCTTCGTCCGCTGCGTGCGGCATGAGCATGTTATCATTGTACCGATTTCCGTGTTGCCTCCTTTTAGCGTGTGGAAGGTTAACCCACGTTTTTTGATAGTATTCCATACTTCCCCTTCAACCTCCCGTTCCCCGTACGCACATTCACGCACGGAGTCGATCCATCTTTTGATCGCAGTCCTCTGTTGTCCTCCCGCTTCCCATACACCCTGAGGTACATGATTGCGTTCACGCTGTGCTTCGTCGATTGGAAAGGAATTGCATGAAGAGAATGGAGGCGAGCAGATGATGAGACGGAATGGAAGAGATAATGCCAATCTCTCTCTCTCTCTCTCTCTCTCTCTCTCTCTCTCTCTCTCGCAAGAAAACGATCAGGTAGAAGTGGAAGAGGTGTGGAGATYTCTCTCCTCGTCGAGGCTACCGGTTAGCTGATCGCACCCGAACCTCTCTCTCTCTCTCTCTCTCTCTCGCAAGAAAACGATCAGGTAGAAGTGGAAGAGGTGTGGAGATCTCTCTCCTCGTCGAGGCTACCGGTTAGCTGATCGCACCCGAACCAACAGCCGCATCTCCACACATGTGGCTCTCTCAGACACATTGAGGGGACGAGTCCGTACTACGGAATCTCTCTCTCTCTCTCTCGCTCTATTTCTCGCTGCTTTCGTCTCCCTAGGACACCATGGCCCTCGACGCGCTCCGTTTCGTCTCGTCTCTCTCCCTCTCACTGTAGACACGCAGAACAGACGGGATGCATGCACTGAGACCCGTGTTTACTCGTGGCCAGTACTGTCCCGAAAAGGACCAAGGCCGGGTACCGGCTTGCTTTTTCCGGGTACCAGTCCTCCTACTGGTCTACGTCTTGGGCGTTTCGCGGTATTTTGCTCCCGAAAGTTTGTGATCGGACGCAAATCGCATGAAAGTTTGTGATCAGGCGCAAATCGCACGAAAGTTTGTGATCAGGCGCAAATCGCAACCGTCGCTGCGGCGGAACACCTGATGCCTGCGATGAGCCCGTAATGATGTTGTATGGGTAAAGTGATCTGTATGCCCTTGAGGATTATTTTATAGCAGTACACGTGCAACAATGCAATTGGCTGGAGCGTGCCAATGGTTGAGAGTATGGGACGGCTGTAGTTCATTTTTGGTAAAGAAGAAGAACCCATCTCAACAGTCCGCGATCAGTGACGATGACGGCTGCAAAAGGTGGGTGGTTGTCTTTCGGGTTTGCACTGACCGAGCGGTTGGAAGATGTGTCAGCCAAACATGAGATTTCTTGACTTCCATGCCCTACTTTGTGGGTTGCTAATCCCGAAGGAAGATATCTTTTGTGGACGGTCTGTACAGGCTTTAAATGTTTCGAGATGTTTGCGATTGATCCCATTCTCTATTACCCCACGTGCTCCACCTTCTGTCAACCCCGATCTAGTCTGGATCGTTTTATTATAATCGGATCTGGTTTGGGTGGCCGTAAGGTAGTCTAGTGACCCCAAGCGGCTTCTCAATTTATCACAGGTACTATAAACAAGAAAGATTGAATCCCCACTTTTTTCTCCCTCCTCGTTGCTCATCTTACGTATGATTCGCTGTCAACGACAAGAGCCATCCTTGCTGTCCTGGTTGATGACGTTGTTGTGCCATTTGCTGTTTTGAGGCTGAAGGGAGTATTGTCCTGACGTGGCATGCTTGATCTACGATTCTTTAAACAGGCGGTTGAGGAAGGGTAAATACGTGTTGGAACTGATAAAACCCGTCTTGTCATCCTTGCTATCCGGGTTGATGACGTTTTGTTGTGCCATTTGCTGTTTTGAGGCTGAAGGGGGTGTTGTCGTGACGTGGCATTCTTTGATTTATGACTCAGTAAACAGACAGTCGAGGAATGGTAAATGCATGTTGGAACTCTGACCCCACTGATTAACGTGAGCTGCAACTCGCTTAGGAAGTTGGACCCTCCAGTCCTTTAGGAGGAATGTGAGGAATTGGAAGAATAGGTGTAGGGAGGGCAATTTACTCCCAAATCACATTATCGGGATCGGATCGTGTGGTGGCTGAATTGTCTTGCGGTACATATGTTAGTCCCGAACTAATTTTAGGTTATTTATGGTGGACCTGGTCGCGGCCTCACGGTGGTAGGTCTGATCTAGCTGGTGTAGCATTGGCGGGGTTGGTCGGTAGGCGCAAGATCTTGTTGCCGACATCGACACCCAGATGTGGTATGCGCTAGTTTCGTCTTGCCTCGTCTCTGAGGGTTGAGGCTCTTTTGTTCAATTGACTTTCTAATGGCGTACGGTCTGTGAGAGGTCCAATGAAGCATGGGTCGTTCTCGACTTCTGAAGGTTTGTTGACCCATTGATAACCTGGTGTCGTTGGAAGTGTACTGTTACCGCAATTGGTGGTTTCTTCGCAAGCATGTGGGGGTGGTGAGCAATTGGTGGTTTCTTCGCAAACATGTGGTGGTGGTGAGCTTGATGATGATCCGTTTCTGATCATTCGTTGGTATTTTGCTATGCTGACACGCTATCCAGGTACTGGGGAGCACAAACCCAGCGGTCGCTCCAGAATTTCGAGATCGGTGGAGAGAGGGAGCGTATGCCCGAACAGCTTGTTCGCGCTTTCGGCATTTTGAAGAAGTGCGCGGCCAAGGTAGTTTCTCTGAAAAAACCTGTCCCTCTTGTCAGTTTCGCAGAAGATGTTATCGTCTGCACGGGGTATTTGGGCAATTCGTCGGGGTATTTGGGCAATTCGTCATTTGTTAGGAGAATGTACAGGCGGCGAGGAGCTTCGATCCATCGTAAGTCTTTTGTCTTCAAGAAAGAGATCGATGTGGAGTAAGAAGTTGCGTTCTGACAGAATGTTGTCGGGTTAGCGGGTTCACGCTTACTGACGTGCTGTCGCTAAACTTATGTTAGGCTCCAGATGAACTCTGTCACAGCCCGTCGTTTGTTGTCCTCGTGGTCTCACTCTCTGCCTACGGTTTACCAGGCAGCATTGTTTGACGATGTATAATCAGACATCAGTGCCAGTGTTAGCACTAATAATATCGATCGGTAGTAGGAAGAGTCATAGTAGCTTTGTTACTTTCTGTTTTATTTCAGCAGTAAGCATGCGCGACGGTACGATGTTGTAGCACGTTAATTCTCCCATAGGGGAGGAAGGAGGAACTATCCGTGGTCACGCGGCGTGCCGCCTCTGTGTCGATAACTGCCAGTGTTGGTTATGGATGTTTGTCGATGTGGAGCTGGTGGTTGCTGTTAGATGTGCTGTCAATTATAGCTGTGGAAGGCGGGGTTGACCAAGGGATCGAGAATCCGCATGAATCTGGTGTTCATCCCATGGTGATGGTGGCGGGACTTGCGTGCTGTTCCCTGTTGATGTCGAACTGCCAATTGCGGTGGGAGGCAGGATCGACGAGGGGTGGAGCGTGCGCCTTTGGTAATACATACGGTCGGGATGAGGATAACTGTTAACTCCGAGTTGTCTTGGCACTGGTGCAGGTCAACATCGAGTATGGCTTGGATCCGAAAGTCGGCAACGCGGTTATGCAAGCTGCGCAGGAGGTGGCGGAGGGGAAGCTGAGTGATCACTTCCCGCTGGTTGTGTGGCAGACAGGCAGTGGAACGCAGACCAACATGAATGCTAACGAGGTAGGATGCTCTTGACTTAACTTTTGTCTTCGACTCGTCGGTTTCCTGATGCGATATGTCAGTAAATTGTTTTGGCAGGTGCCGTAGTGTTTTTTCTTGCAGACGTACTTGTCGAGTACTGTCGAAATCCGCTTTCTGCGCAAGCTTGTTAGTGGTCTGGGGAGATGGATCCTCAACTGACTAACGACCCTTGATGCTGCTGGACCTCGATGCATGTAATAAATCATTTTTGAAGAACGCTAGTGAACTGTGATTAATCTGCCGTTGCTGGATAAAACAGCTAATGAGCTGCGACATTCTGCTGCTGCTGTGATCTCGGAAATTGTTCTGCTTGTTTGTCTGCATGAATCGGCTTCGTGCGCGAAGTGTTGGTCGGGTTGGTCTATAGCTGGGAACGATTTGGCAGGTTATTGCAAATCTCTGCTTTTTGTCTGCATAAGTTGGCTTTCTGCCCGAAGTATTATTAGTCGGGTTTAGAGTCAATGGTTTAGCTGGCTTATCATGGCGATTTTGATTTATTTCGGACTGTGATGATGCTGGTAACGGTTTGGCAGGTCATTGCGAATCGTGCCGTCGAGATTTTGGGCGGCAAGCTGGGTGACAAGGGAATAGTACATCCCAACGATCATGTAAACATGAGCCAGTCGTCGAACGATACGTTCCCAGCGGTGAGTGCGGAAATCTTGAAGGTCGGAATTTGTTGTGAACGTTTGTGTCAGGTTTGATTCTCTGGGCGACTGCGTCGTTGTGGACATCCGTTTGAACACTGAGTTGAGTTGTGTTAGAAACCTATTACTGTTTTATGATAGCTGTTGTTGAGGTTTTAAAAGGACGGAGGTACGAGAGTCAAGAGGTGAGCGCATGTGGTCATTGTGAGTCCTCGTTGCGTCGATAATGTCTCAATAGATAGAAATTTCAGCTCTACGGGCTATTGGTGGTGAATACGACTGCCTTGACTTGGCTTGGATGATCACGATTGTCAGCTGCTCTGTACACGATTTTGAATATTATTCGGTGAACGAAGATTGGATGTTGGTGCTGATGTCATGGTGGTAAATGGTGGTGTGAATGGTGGTGGTAATCATGGTGGCGACAGGGTATGCATATTGCGGCAGCTATCGAGTGTACCTCACGACTGCTGCCCAAACTCCAGACATTGGCAGATGCACTCGGTGAGAAGGTGAGTGGTTGAAGGTTGAGAAGCAATGTTGTTTTTCTTCATTGCGCTATGGGTGATGATGTTGTATTTGTCTTTAGCGAAGGAAGGAGTATGTGCAGTCCGGTGACGTGTACCATGGAGTCCGGAGTCCGTTGCCTGATACCATCCTTGTTGTACCCAGCATCTCCGATTAATCCCAGTCGGTTGTTTTAAGTATCCAAGCCTGGCTGTGCGTTTTTTCTTTTCTAGTATTGAGCCATATACATCTCTTTTGGTGCGTTTTTTCTTTTCTAGTATTGAGCCATATACATCTCTTTTGGTGCGTTTTTTCTTTTCTAGTATTGAGCCATATACATCTCTTTTGGTCAGCGGAATGCTTAGGCCTTTTCCGGTCCACAACCCTGGAGCAGCCAAAGGCGGTTTGTCTTGTCGCATCCAAGTTTGCGTTGCCTGCCGGGAGATGGATGTCGGGAGGTGTCTTTTGATCACAAGGCTGGTAATGTGGTTGGGGATTCGGGCTTTATCCCACAGATTGCCTGATTGTTCAGGCTCGGATAAAAGCTTCATTTGTGTAACAGCTTGAAGTGGACAAGAAAGAGGAAAGCGAAAAGCCGGCTCCCTTTCCAGGCCACCATGTCTTCCTTGGGTCTTCACAGGGAAGATTAGAACTGCGTGTATATCAATTGAATGGCAGTATTCCGTGGGTTTTGACTGTTGACCTATTTTTTTGGTATTCAAGACTGATCGTGTGATCGTGTGCGATGTAAGTGGTGATCATAACACACTGAAGCTCAGAATCCTATCGGAAAACCCCCGAAATCGCAGGTTGTTGCACCCACAGCAGACGTACAAAAGACGAAATTAATGTACACGGAAGTTTTGGGTCCTGTTTCCTGCTGCACATGCCATGCGCAACGTGCGTCCTTTGGCCCCCGTGGTTTGTATTTGGTTACCTTAGTGGTTGCCTGATTGCTGTATGCTTTCGTTTGGAAAAGTTGGGGGGGTTACATATCGTTGCCCGACTGTTCTGTCCTTTGGGAGATCACTTCGTTATCTTTCTGGTGTGGTGTTTATGGATGGCGAATAATGTTGCCCTCTTCTGATGCTGTGGCGTTGGCGAATTGTCAGGTAGAGGAGTTCAAGGACATTGTGAAGATTGGCCGAACGCATACGCAGGATGCAGTGCCCCTGACTCTTGGCCAGGAGTTCAGTGGCTATCACACTCAAGTTCTTTATGGAATCCGACGAATCAAGGACACGTTGCCCAGGCTCTACCAGGTCAGTCTGGTGACGAGTTCCCTGTTTGTGATTATGGAATGGATTTGTTGGATCTTCATTTTGGAAAGAGTTGTTGAAATCTGTGCGTACTTGAAGTGATGCGTCTGTCGATTAATGCTCAGTTTTTATGTAAACCTGTGGAAAGATGGATGTGTGGCATTTGTGCAATCGTTGGCATTTCAGAACATAAGAGGCTGGGGTCCGAATGCAGTCGCTCTGAGTTTTTGAACTTTTTATTCATCTGTGAAAAGATGGATGTGTGGCATTCGTGCTCTTGTTCAACCTGTGAAATAGATGAGTGTGTGGCAATCGTTCAATCGTTGGCACTTCTTCAGAACATAGAAGGCTGGGGACTGAATGCAGTCGTCTTCTTCATGTACTCGAATGTGCTGATGTGTGTTTCTGCCAGCTTCATGAGGTATATTTTAATTTGTCCCATCCTCCCACTCCCCCGTCCCTGTCCCTTTAGTCACCATATTTTAATTTGTCCCATCCTCCCACTCCCCCGTTCCTGTCCCTTTAGTCACCTTCGTTGGGAGTTGCTGTGGTCAGTGAAATGCATGCAGTAGAATGAGCATTTTGTAGGTCATGGGTGCTGTGGTGTGGATTTTGGGAATAGAACGAGTTTTTGTACGGTATTGTTGTGTAGTGGTAGGGTATTGTTGTGTAGTGGTTGGCTATTGTAGTCTAATGAAATTTCTCGATGCTGTTGTTTGGATTTTGACAGTTGGCTCAAGGAGGTACTGCTGTTGGAACAGGCCTCAACACCAGGAAAGGGTGAGTTTTGTTTAGGACCGTCAAAAAAGTTGGTCTTCCTTTATTTTCCTATTTTAGAAGCTAGGCTGATGTCACTGTCAGTGATTGCTAATTGCATCAGCAAAAAAGACGTCTTCATGATATGGGGTGCTTACCTTGTTCCTGCACTGTAACCTGGTTGTCTTCTTAGGTGGAATGGTTATGTACGGGGGGGGGGGAAGAACAACGCAGTGTGCAAAATGGTAATGCTTCCTAGTTTTGATGTATATTTTATAAGGAAACTCCCTGTTGAATAACCTTTTCGAATGATGAAAACGGGCAACCGGGAAAACATTAGTTTCGAGTTGTCATAGCGGTGTAGAGGCACCAGTAGAGATGTGCACCAGGGTGTCCAGATACCTGAGGGGTTCATTGTAGACTAGCTTTGTACTCTCTAACGTGTAGAGGCTATGCCCGTCCATCATCTGAAGGTGTATCAACCGTTCTGAGTTTCAATGCCTATGTGTGATAGCTGTGTGGTTCGATAGGAAATGTCTAGGGGTTGATAGCCGTGTGGATTCATGTAGAAAATGTATCAAACGTTCTGATCTTTGATAAATGTGTGGATTCATGCATTGTATGATGTGTTGGCACATCGGATTTTGGCTTAGTGTAAATACGCTATGTTCTGGTGTCGTCTGTTGACTATGTAGGTTTGATGTGAAGGTTGCGAAGGCCATTGCGGAAGAGACTGGCCTGCCGTTTGTAACAGCTGAGAACAAGTTTGAGGCGTTGGTGAGTATTCTGAGGAACATTTGTGCAGCAAATGTGAGGAGTGTTTTGTGCTGTGGGCAAGATTCTTAGACATTTGTGAGAGTGCGGCGGAGTTGTTGACATTTTGCTTTTTAAGGACCTAAGGGAGCAATTGAGAGAGTGTCGACATCAGAGTTTGCAAATCTGCTGTCATCTTTTCTCCTAGTCGAGACTGTATGCCTGTAAAGTTGATACTGGGGAGATGAAGCTGTCTACAGCTGTGGTGTACATGTCGCGAGTCAGAAAAAGACCTTAACCCACTGGTACGGAAGAGGTTTGAGTTATGTGTCAATG